GAGAGAGAGAGAGAGAGAGAGATAGGAACAAGATAGAAGCAGACAGACAGAGGGAGAGAGAGAGAGAGAGAGAGAGAGAGAGAGAGAAAGAAAGAGAGAGGAGGATAGGAACAACATAGGTACAGAAAAAGAGTGAGAAAGAGAGTGAGACAAGCAAACAAATGGGAGAGAAAGAGAGAGAATGATGCTGAGTTTACTGAGCGATATAAATACCAGTGTGATAACGGACATCACTGTGCAGAGCTTTCAGCAAACTCTGACCCATTGACCACAAACACCACCTCACACCATGACTACACTTTTATGAGCTCTCTCTCTCTCTCTCTCTCTCTCTCTCCTCTCTCATGCACACACAAACACTAAAATAAACCTAACATCTCTAAAAACAGTTCAGGTGCTGCAGTCATTAGAACCTGAGCACTTACCAGCTACAACCTCATAAACATGAACACCCACATCTTGTCCGGTCCTGGGCCACATATACCACAGCTGTATTGTACATATGAGTACCTATATGTAATAATAGTATTCCCAAGTATAGTACATACAATCATATGCAAAAGTTTGGGCTCCCCTGGTCAAATGACACGTTTGATTGATTTACTAAGTGAAAACGAGTTTACACATTTACTACAGAGAACACACTTCTGAGCATTTTAATGCACAATTACAGTTTGTTTGCTAATAAAAATTGTTATGGCACATTTTATATTTCATGGTTACATTTATTTTTTTTATGTTTATATATTATTATTTTGCCAGTATGTTAAACTTGGGGGAAAAAATAAATAAGTCAAAACAAAAGAAAATGTGCACTTTCTAGGTGACATCTAGCATGGTGACTTTAAAGGGACACTCCAGCCAAAATGAAAAAATTTAGCATCACTACTTTTGTAAACCCATCTGCTCGCCACCTACAGCAGTGCGGTAGCAGTCTTTAAAGTGAGATTTTAAAGAGGTTTACAGACTAGGAAAATCCCTTCCTGATGATGTATCTTCCACTAAGGAAGACAAATATCTTAGTCATGTCACGCAACTGTCTTAACATCATCATTACAATGGAAAAAAACAGATTCCTAACTGCAGAAATGACATTGGCGGCTGAGGTAAGAGCCACACTACTGCTAAGTTGGTTGTATTTATTAGCACTTACTAGCAGGACTGGTTGACACCACAGGGATTTCCAATGGTTGTGAAGTAAAACATACTTCACTCTAGTTTTAAACTGAAATGCCCCTTTAAAGTAGCTGAATTCACTAATTAGAAGGGGTCTCTACCTACTTTTAGACATGTGACTTTCCAACCTCACTACAATGTGCTGGTTAACTTCAGCAGATTGGATAGTGATGCATGTGTGTATCAGTACACTGGTTCTGTGTGAATGACACACCTGTGGTGGGTTGGATCCCCTCTCCTGGGTCCAGCTGCAGCCGACTCCAGCGGCTGGCCGTGCTCCGTCTGACCGGCCCAGGCCAAGAGTCCCTGCACCTGCTGCCCTCTCTCTCACTCTCTCTTGCTCGCTCTCTCTTGCTCTCCCTCTCTCGCCCTCCTTCTCTGGCCTGAGCGAGCTCCATCCGTTCACATCGTAACTCACCCCGTGCAGCTGTCGCCTGTACCGGGTTAGCAACTCAGGCTTACTCTCATGTTTCCCTCCCATCACATGCTCGTCGGCTACTGCTCTGCTGCCGGCTATCGCTGAAACTGGCCACGATCCAGTGACTATCAACACTGTACTGCAGTGAGATGAGCTTCAACATGCAACTCCAGTCACTGCCACTGACACCTTAAGGACTCAATGACTATCTGTTCTTCAAATGATGCATCATGGCAGCGTGAAAACTAATGTGCTAACGTGCTAAGCTGCCTTTTGTTAAACATAAATTTGATTAATATGATAGCACTATCATTACCACCAATTTCAAATAATTACTAGAAAGCAAGGCTATAATAAAAGCTAAGATCAGTCCAGAATCAGACTAGATCATCAATAATGAAATTCTAATAAAATTAATATCCAGAATGCCTGTATTTTAAAAGTAGTGATCATAATGACAAAAATGACAAAAATGATTATAAACAGAAAATTACAGGATATTATTTATCCTGTAATCAACTTGTTGCTCCCAAAAACCTTGAAATATAAAACATCTAAAAATACCATTTTGTTTGATTAAACAAACCTTTGAACACCTGAAGGACCACTGACTATGTTCGCATCTAACGAACCAGCTTCATTGTAAAGCTAATGTACTACAAAAAAACTGAACTATACAGCCACAGAATTTCCTCCCAGTGCATGCACTTGCAGCACACCAACCTCATCAAGGCAAAACCTGTTCGTGCTCACTGTCATCGGCTTCACACACATACGTGTGCACGCAACTAAACCACAGTAATCTGGGATTCAAAAAGATGGGTAACCACAAAGACCACATGAATGGGTTTGACACTTCTGCCCTTTAAACAAAGCGAATAAAGTGAAACCAGCAGTAAAATGCAGAGAGGATTCGTCCATCCGCGGAACAGGCCGAACACTTGTGCGATGGACGCAGTTTCCTTTCTCCTTCTCTGTACTCCCTTATTACCTCAGGAACGGCGCACAGACAGTCTGCCAGCCGGAGAAGCGAGCACATCATTCATGTGTCAGCGCTCCGAGCGGAAAAAAGTCGAGAGGGCTAGCTGAGCGCTTTCTAAAATTATACACAGCTAAGACCCAGTGACTCACGCCATGCTCCTAATAAGTGCTCCAATCAGCCTCATAGCAGTAATATTATCGCATAAAACAAAGAAACAGAAAGACTGCCTGCACAAAGCTGCCTTGATGAACTGAATAACATCATGCACATTTCCCCAATACTAGATACGTATTACAGTATTTAGTTTTTCTGAGGTTTGATAACTTTAAAAGAGACTTTATTAAGAAACACTTTTAAAAAATACTGTCAAAAATATGAGTGGAGTGTTTTTTTATTTAGTGTTTCACATACTGCACTGCACTAAATCCAATTAAGCAAGACTAATTAAGCTCTCTTTGTAGTGATACATGCAGTTGCTGAGTGGCCTTTAAAAAGTCATACTATCCACTAGTTGCTCAAATGTAATTTATTAAATGTAATTTAAACAAGGTGCTCCCGTATTGAAAAAGGTAAAGGCAAACTACTTGAGAGATGGCCTACAGAACTCGTTAGTGACCTAACTATTCAATGCCGAGGAAAGAAAGTGTCTTTTTCTGCCTTTCCATCTACTCTTCCTTGTTAAGGTAATTTCATAAGCTGCTGTAGTACTTGTTTTGATAAGCAAATAATATAATAATTCTTATATTTTTATGTTGTTTTGTGTCACAATCTACCATTTTGAGTATGAAAATACATCACAAGTCAGTCTCCTTGTTTTGTTACTCTGATTACCTCTATCGAACAGAGTGTCTTGTCAGCGATACATTCCGAGATTTGGCGATGATGAACTCATTTAAATCTGCTTAGAGGAGCTACAGCATGTGCATGCAGGCGAGAGTGAAACATTCAAGCATACAGAATCTCCACTTTCTGTGTGCTACTGTGTGTTTCTATCACTGCATAAAAGATGCACAAGGCTTTCTTTATTGTTGGACACACTATGAGCATGCAAGCTCATTCAGCACACAGCTCGAATTGTTTTGTTTCATCAGAGTAACAATAAAACATGACTAATGGGTGACATACTCCTATTCATATTTTCTCATTCAGAAAGGTATTTTGTGACACAAACAAAAGAAAACCTAGAAATTTTCTGTTTTGTTAGATCACGTCCTTTACCTAGCAAATAAGGGTATTGACACATCACATGACTAATGGAGAAGAGCAGATTAAGCAGCTTTTTTTGCGTCAGCCCCATAAGGTTAAGGGTTCTGAATTTGTGCAAACACTCACTCAGAAACTGCTTCTTTTATATAGTGACAGAGAACATGGTATACTGTAAAAAAAAGAGGAACAGTAGCAGAAAATGACCAGTTACACTGCTTGTCATCACCTGCAGTATTTTTTTTTTTGGTTAAACTGTTTTTGATGTTGTATATGTCTGTCTGTCTGCCCTGTGATGGACTGATGACCTGTCCAGGGTGTATCCTGCCTTCCGCCCAATGAGCACTGAGATAGCTCCAGCTCCCCCCGCAACCCAGAAGGATAAGCGACTTAGAAAATGTGTGTGTTTGTGTGTGTGTGTGTGTGTGTGTGTGTGTGTGTGTTTGATGTGTTTTACACTGTACAGTTCCAGTGGCAGTGGAATTTAAAGGGGGTGTCACCAATGTCTCAGAATGTCTCACTGACAAGAGCGTATAAGGTTCAAATTCAAATTGGAGCAGATACAATCATGTCTACAGACTTCAGAAATTACAAAACAACAGCCTTCAGAGGGACCTTGTTGGCCCACACCTAGTATGATGATGCAAATTAGTATTCATTTCTTAATATGTAATCCAGATCTAGGCAAGCATTCATTACAATGTCAAAAATTCACTGGTCTTGTATATTCTGGCTTGCTATAGCAAAGCATGCATGATAAAACAAGCTTAAAAACTCCCTCATAAAAAGTAATGGTCCATGCCAGAAGATGAACTTTGACATCTCATGGTGTTTAATTATCAAAAAAAGACAATGTTTCATCATGTGACATGCTTATAGCAAGCCATATGACATCATGAAGCATTCATATGAGTTCTATACGGCTGCATAGTACAATTAAATACATCAAATCTGACCATCATGAGTGTGTGATTATGAAATAGAAGTGCATGCATTTCAGCTTTTGCAAAAATGTATGCATTTTTTGGTACATTCCTCTCTGGTGTCATGTTTTTGAGATTTTCATCAAAATGATTTTGAAACTATCACAGACATCCCTACTCAAAATGCATGTAGTCAAGCAGTGAAAAACTACAAAGGGAAATTAAAGAGAAATAAAAGGAGGGATAGGGTGGTCGAAGGAGAAAAGAAGGATAAAATAGGGTAGGAAAAAGGGCATACTTTTCGCAACGGCGATTCAGCTGACCGGACTTTCTTGGGAGATATCTGTGAAGAGAGCAAGAGAATTAATATCTTGTTGAACCCTCTTCAGAGATATCTCCTATGACACCGCACTAGATGACAGTTGGCAATGCATTTTCATAAATCTTCTTACATTTTCTGAGAGCCAGTGTTGTAGCCATCCTCAGTCCTGACCCTTTTCCTTACATCCTGTGTCTTACTGACTAGATTTCTCAATGCATTCCTAAGTAGCACATAATTACGCAACTTAAAACTCAACATTTAGACATTTTGGTGCTTTGTTGCAGTTACACTAGGTCATCCACTGTTATGCCTCCAAATTTCCATCTGCCTTCATCAGGAACACTCCATTGTTTTTCTATCAGATCTCTGTCTGGTGCAAATATAACGTGCGGTTAATTACCCCAGGCAATTGTTGATGTGTTTTGATGTGTACATAGAAAAGAACATAAAACTCACTGGCCTTAAACACAATAATAATAGAAGCCATTGGGCAGTTGCCGCATTCTATCAATACACAATTACATAAAACACACATTTTTGTAGAACACTCATAAATAAAACGTATTTGTAAAGTACCGTGTTAATCTGTATGATTTGTTCTATTTGAGATTAAACTAGTTTTCCAGAGGGATTTTTATGCAGCAATACAGTTCTGGTTAACAACAAAGGCCAGCTAACAGTGCTAACCTAACCTGCCATTCAAATTCAAGTGAACACAGAAGTGCCTCACAGGTTCCAGCCTCATCATGCATGAATATCAGAAAACTTCAGAGAAAGCAAATGTTGGAGTGGCTAGTATGACAAGATTTATCATGATAACTTATGTCACAATATGGTTTTCTGAGCTTATTGTGAATATCATCATTACTTAAAAACAACTGATCAACTGCACACTTCATTACAAAGAGAACAGAATTAGTCCTGTTTGACTGGATTTAGTTCAGTGCAGTGTGTAAACAAAAATGTTTTTTAAAAGTTTTTTTTGCCTGTTTCAGCTTATCAAACATTGTGATACAAATTGAATATCATCAAAATGTCTTGAAGTATCATGATAATATATTTTCAACACATTCCCCCATCACTATGTTATGGTGTTCGAAAGTACTGTTATGTCTGTCAACTTAAGACCTGGATCGTTACAGTGTAATGCTTGTAGTGTCAAATTGCCCACATATTTCAAATATGTATTTATGGAATACCGCAACTACCCAATAGCTTCTATTTAGGAGTGCACTGATACAGAAAGATGAGCCATTGCCGATATCCAATATTTTCATGTCAGTATCTGCTGATGCTGATACAGATGTCATATATGATACAAATATAATGTAAAATGTATAAAAAATAGAAATTAGGACTAAACTACCCATATTCTTCTTGCTGTAGGGTTACAAATGCAGTAAAATAAATAAAATTCAGACATTTTAGCAAAGTAGCCGGGCATCACCTAAACAGTCTGCTTTTTCAGAGTATATGTTATCAAACATCAATTTGAAATCTAAACATCTGTCCAATGTTATATTGTTTATCTGCCAATTGCATCATACATACCTACTTCTATATAGGTGTGTTTCAAGTCAGGAGGTTTTCTGTTCTTTTCCATATACAGGAAAACATAATCTATCTATAATCCATCGTAATGATACAGATGAAGCAGATAGAAATTAAGCTAAAAAGCTGGAGCATTCTAACTGCAACTACTGTAGAGTCTTCCTTTCTGTTTTCTTTTGACACTGTCTTGGCTAAGTTACAAAATTAAATGTTACTTGTATGTAAATAAACAAGCATAACCCAAGGATCCTACATAATGTGTGGTTCTCTTGGATCTTTTATGCCTTCCACTGATAGGACTTCCATTTCATAAGCCTCATATTCTGAAGCAGAAGCTGTTTGTTTGTATACGGCAGCCATGAAGTTAATAATTCAAGACTAGCAGCAAGAAAACGAAACACGGCTCTTTTGTTTCTGTTTCTTTTGCTAAAAGTTTGCATATTTAGAGCTGGTTTTGACTAAAGTCCCTGAGGACCTCTTTGGTCCTCGTACGTAGTGTTTAATAATACTTCCCTTTCATTTCTCTATTAGTCAAAAGCTATAAAGAGACACATTAAATGGTGCGATGTAATAATCATAATTGTGGGGAATTCATTCAAATGCTGAAATACAGCAGTTCTTCCCAGTGCTAGTGTGTTGAGTCTGTAGATAGCGGATAGCGGATAGTGACAGTGACACACACAAGGTGTACAGGCACAGAACAAAGCTACAAAACAGATGCAGAGACAAGGCAACAGGGACAGCAGAAAGAAGGCAGGACAGGGAGGCTACACTGGCACTGGCTATGGAAACAGAGTGGACAGGGGGATGTCCCATATTATACATATACAGTACTGTGCAAAAGCTAAAGACCACCCTTTATTTATTTAATTTCCTATCAAAATTATGCTAGTGAAGTTATTCATTCTTCAGCGTCAGTTTTTCAAATAAATCTATAGGGATATTCTTCCACACCTCCAAATAACTTGTCCTTAACAGCTGTTTAAACTGGAAATTAAATAAAGGGTGGTCTTTAATATGCACATAAGCTAATATTATACAGATAAAAATAGGGTACACTTCTTGATCGAAAACTATTAGAACTCATTATTTCTGAATTAACACACAAAACAGGGCACATTCGGTATCAGCGATCACAATCAGGGATTGCTGTTTATGGAAGTACCGTGTGCCATCACAAAAATTCTCCATACAGAAATTCAGTCTGTTGGACAAATGAAATGGAAGCAGAAGCGTGTGTTCCAAAGCCAAGCAGCAAATTCTCAACTTTAATTTAACACTTACAATGTTCATTTGGGTCCATCTGGACTTCAGTGAACACTGCAGGTGTGAATTCAACACTTTGCTGTGCACTTAAATACACTCAAAACAATGTTTTATGATGAGGTGATAAAGCCTGTATACGCTGACTCTGTTCTATTTTATTGAACAGGAATATGGCATAAATAAATTAAATTCATGATTGTTTTGAGTGTATAAAAATACAAAAAGTTACTACAAAATGTATATAATGTTGTCCAATCCAATCATTTCACATTTCTGCAACCATTTCTACTTTAACATGATATACATCCTCCAACAATGAGATTGAGTGGAGGCAGCAAGTAGCACAGGAAAGGAGAGGTTAACCACCGAGGAGTAACAGGGTGAAACACAGAGGAGTCCTTCATGTACCTTCATGGGTGCTAGCTGGATGGGGGTGATGTAGGAGGGGTCCACCATAGGTTTTGGCCGGTTGGCTGTGTCTGCCAGCAGGCTCTGCCATTGCTGAGGCAGTCCGGTGAACTTCTGCTCACGCGGGTCGAACCCTGTGTGCACGCGATGCTCAAAGTTTGAGGGGGCCGAGATCTCCAGCCTCTTCTTCTTTTTTCCAAACATGTTGGAAAAGCTGGACAAACCTGAAAACACACAGAGAGAATGTATAATGCAAAAATGTAACAGTATGTATTGTTGTAATGCATGTTATGCTTCCAGTTACTGCAACTGTTGCAAAAGGAATCAAAAGCACAGCAATTAAGCTGCTGTCCATGCTAGGCTAAGGCTAACCTCAGGTTGGCTGTTCCTTCAAACGTAAGGGACTGCTGCATTTTCATTTTCACAGCAAAGTGTCTGAAACATCCTTGAATCAGCCATTCAGCAAAATGTGCTAATTTGAGAATGTTCTGCACTGTATGTACATTGTTCTCTATGCTAAATGTTGCTCCATCTCTTAATTGCTACAAGGTTGAAGCTGATCTCATTCGCCACTTCGTATTTTCTGTTCCACCTTAAATGGAGCAACAGTTACATTCTGGCACGTGTACAGGCACCTGAATGTAACTGCTGCACCATTTAAGGTGGAATGGGAAATTTGTAGAAGAGGCCAACATCAGTTCCATCAAATTTCTCAAGTTATTTGTTTCATACATGCCTCCTGTACACTCATGCCTCCAACCATCAGGCACAGCTGGATTTAAGAAAATATTACAGTCATTCATACTATACAGTCAAGCTGGTCCACAGCTGTGGCACCATGAATGCTATGTGCTGCAGCTGATTGACTCAGGCAGCACTTTATAGGTGGTAGAAGATTATCCTGGATATGTAAGATCATTAGCTCTGCTAGAATGTGCAGACATGAGCTATAATTAAACACTGTTTTCTCTGGATTTCAGCCCTTTTCTCTAAAAAAAACACCACAAAGCATATATCATCTAATATGAAAGAGTAAACTATTCGCTAAATGCAATCTAAGATGACAGAATTCAAGCATGTTGATACATACACACAGCAAATCTTACAGCATAAGAGCATTATTGTCAGTTAGTAACAAAGCCAAGTGTGAATCCATTTATTCCTGCAAGAATGCATTTGCCAATGCTGATATGGATCAGAAGCCTTTGGAAATGAAGAGGGCATCTGACCACTCGTCGACCCCTTTGTGTTTTCACTGCTGAATAGATCTCAGTGTGTCAGGATCATCCCTCACTTTTTGTTCATCACTGTCATTCAGGAAAACAATGCTGTCCTTCAGCTCGGACACGCCGGGCCCTGCACCGTGCCAGGCTGACCTACACACCGCCAGCTGTGCTGCCAACACACGCACACAGACAAAGAGACAGCTAGTGTGTGTGTGTCAGTGCAAGAGAGAGAACGTCAGCTGTGGAAAAAAATAGAAGTGTTTTCACTATATGCATTCTCTAACAATGGCCAGAGTTTAGCAATGTCCAACTCTTGAATAATTCATTCTTCCATTCCGCAAGTCCATTCTAATACCTTTTTGTAAAATATTACACAATATCGACATCCACATAAAAGGCTGAAGACTTCTGATACAATTCAAATAAGTCTTTCAAAATGTAACCACATTAGATCTTAAACTTGTACATTGTAACATATTATAAACAACCTATTTGAATTTGCTTACACTGTCTGAAGACTGTAAGAAGCTTATAGCTTGTTGTGTTTGTGCTTTCTGCATTCTGAGTCTTACTCTATTATTGAGTAGAAGTTGGAAACATCAAACACATCAGACAATCAATAAATCAAAAGTTGTTGTACATGGGGCAGGGGCCTGGTCACAGCAAAAAATATTATGTTCCTCTATATTGCTATAGCGAGGTTGACAACCACCAGCTAGCCAACTAGGCTTCTTCACTGCAGCTTCCAGAATCAGAGAGAAACACATAACTGCTGACCCTAAACTTAACTGCCAAGTTACTACAACAACTGAGCCAAATAAACACTGAAAAAGTATATATTTTTTTTATTAATAATCAAAGTAATAAATTGAAAAATCAAAGACTAGCTAAAAACTTTGACAAAGTGTCAAATTACAATGTGGCTGTTGTCTATAGACTCTCTAGTGTATACTATAATTATTAGGACAAAACCTCATATCTTGTTGTATCTTGTTTTGTTTTGTTTTTTACATATTTTGAAAATAGTACCTGTCCATTATTAAGGAATAGACCAGTAGAAAGGGTCAAAATGGCTTAGAATAAAATCCTATAACCTTAACTTCCATTAAAAGTAAAGAATGTTTATTCTTTACATGTAAAGTTCACACTGTGGAGATTTGAGAGCCTCTGTTACACCTGTGATAAGATAATTTCCTGTTGCTTATGAATTGTATAATTCTAAAAAGTTGACAAAATCTGCTGTATGCTCAAGAAACGCACACTGTGACATAACTGATCATGATAATTAATATAGTCATACTGCCCACTGGTGAATCCATGAATCACTGAATCATTTGATTTGTTGAAACAGGCAACTTGAAAGAATCAGTTCACTAAACTGAATCCAACTTTCCTACCAGACACAGTACTGTCCAGATCCACCCCCCACTTGCCAGCTTAGAGAACCAACAAGCGTTTACATGGGCTGCTGAATCCGGCCCCACAGGCACATCTGAGAAGCATCTGAGACTCAACCTGTGCGCAGAAAAGCAGCAGCATGTTTTGCATGAACGAAGTGCTTTGTCTCCCAGCAACACCTGAGAGAGCTGACAAAGTGGACGGCTCCCAGCAAGAGAGAAAGTGAAAAATAACATAGGAGCTCACAAAGCTGATTAATGGAGTATTTCTCATTCAATCTGCTCACTCTAGCTAGCTCCAGGAGAGTCATTGGGTATGATTTAGTGGTTTTAAACAGTAGAGAGTGGAGCGTTGGAAAGGCATGAGTTTACTGGAGAGGAAGTCACAGGCCACAGTCTTTAGCCGAGGCAGAGAATGAACTGGTCAAGCAAAGGATTTACCTTTGGGGTTTGTATTAGAGCTGCACAATTAACAAAAAACATGTGATGATATTGTTACATGAGATTTACATTTATGACATTTGGCAGACACTCTTATCCAGAACGACTTACAATTTGATTATTTTACACAGGTAGGTGAAGCTAGTGTTAGGAGTCTTGCCCAGGGACTGGGAGTCTTCCCCAGTCTACAGCATGAAAGCCAGAGGTATTACCCACTACACTATACCAACCACATTATAGTGCCTTGCAATGTGTTAAAAAGTAAATTGGTAAACCTGCATTATTTTGGAATTGTTAGAAAAGTCCATGATTGGTCAGTATACAGTGTGAAGGCTTGTACTGAAGGGTTAATTAGCATTCTGCAGCCTTCTGTATTGCAAACATCAACACTGCAATAACATTAACAAACAATACATTGCACAGCCTTACTCTGTATCCTAGAATCCTATCTCACACACATTTCTAATCAATAAAATGACACCTGAGGACATGGATGTTCAAGTTTAGACATAAACACGGAAAACAATAATAAGAAAAGCTGGGCTGCGAGCACAAACCTGATGGGGCTAAAAGTGAGCAATTCTGAAGAGATGTAAGTCGATTAAGGCAGTAAGAGTGTTGATGGCAGTAAAAAATTGCCTTAAAATACATACAAATAAACATAAATGCAGAGAGAAAGTAACAGAAATTTCCTGTTTGCAATAAAGTTATTAATATCTTGGTTAGAACAATACAGTTGGAAGAATACAGGTTTGTGTTCTTGACTTCTTAACGTCTCACTGAACTCCAGCCATTATATGGATTTGTTAAAATCTATCAACAGCACACCTGATTAACTTTAATAAAGGATTCATTAGATAAACTAAGTGTTGGACTGTAACTGTAAATACCAGTCTTCCTCAAGGAGAGGTGTGGAAACTGTTAGCAAACACATACACATTTTCTCAGGTGAATAAAAGGCTTTTGCCAAGTATTTTATATCACGAGCCTCTCAGATTAACAATGCAAAAGGGAGGTTTGTACTTACTATGACAAATAATTAACAATTTCTAAGAGTTAATTACAAAGGCATAGTGTAAACTGATATAATTTTTTTGTCACTTGTTGCTCATTGGAAAAAAAGGAGAAATTATTTTGAAAGTACAGATTCTTAACTTTGTCAATATCATATTTGTGTTAATTGAGATTTTATTATGATTAGAATTTGATGGAAAGTATTTTTGGGTCTACATACCATCTTGCTTTGCAGAGAGAAATAAGATCATTTTAATTTTTTAGTTTGTCATTTCTTCACAGCAGAAAGGCTTACTCAAACCTATCAGTACAGAACGTAAATCAAACGTACATGTAAATACTTATGTAATACACTATATAATCAATTATGTAATTCAGAAATTACATTTAAAAACTACAGCAAAATGACAGTAATATTTCTAGGTTTCTAAGGGTTACAAAATAAATAGGAAATTCAAAAAAATAATGCAAAGATTTTTGCTGGAATGTTTATATCCATGTGGTGTCAGGCTGAACCACTGCATGAAACTTGTAGACGAGCTTGCAAATGGAGATATGCACATGCATTTTTCTCATGCCTTGCATACGTAGTGATGACTTAAAATAACAGTAGGTCTTGAACACTGCTGCATTCCCCACACCTTTATCAGCTCCCTTATCCATTTTCTGCTGATTTGTCAATCACCCCACCTCATCTCCTACGCAATGCGGGCTTGCCGATGGCCCTTTCCTCTTTTGGGCTCATGCCCACTGTCTCCTGTTCAGTGGCCGATTGTGCTGCAAATGTGGCCTGTTGCTGCTTCAATATCTGTCCACCAAAAGTGCCCTCTTGAAACAGTCACTGAAGCCAAAAAACACTACGATACAAAATTGAAAGACCAAAAAATAAAATCCAAAGAATAAAGACTTATCTGAGTGGCAATGACTTCATTAATGAAACAACAATGTGGTCATAAACATACTATACAAGTGCACACTTTTCACCCAGAGACTGTAAAGTGTCTTTAATCCAAGGTTACAGAGTAGATTATAAGATAGGACTGTCCCTCTCCCACTGTGCCATTGAGTTAATAGGCAGAGAGTATCATCTGGCCTGTTGGACATTTGGAACAACACTCTTTAGTGTTAGAGAGCCCATATCATCTT